AAACTCTACTTCCTTCAGTTTTCTTCAATCTCCTGTTTTTATGTTACCTTGGTACACTGCTGTACCATTTATGACACCATGAGTATACAGAGCAAAATGCTGCCTGGCCCTCACTATCCACAAGATTAGGTGCAGATTGGACTGTTGTGTCCATGTTTTCAGGAATGACTTTTGGGAAGTAGATCTCCAGGCCTTTCTAGTTTGTCTTAACCTGGAAATTCTGCTGAAACCTGTTCATCCTCACAGCAACACACAAGACTCTAAAATGCATGGCAGCAGTGCATGAGGCCAGAAACTAAAGTCAGATCTCTCATACAGAAGGTGAAAATTGCACTGCTCAACCTCTCTAAGAGATTGCATTCAATCAGACATTTCTTGAGCACCTAATATTCATCTGACACTTGCCATACACAAGGCCTGCTTTTCCTTACAGGCTCATATCCCACAAGTTCTATTGATTCAAAAGGACTGAAATACTGATTTTTTTTAAAAAGGTATGATCAGCTCACTCTCAGGCTTTGGAGAACAAGAGACAGCCTGACTCTTTCCCTAGAGCTCCATTTGGTCAGAGCTTTGGTTCTTAGGTAACACAAGGGTCCACAGCTGAGCTGTGGTGAAGAAGGCCATTCATTCCTTCACATTATGCACTCCTGCTAGGGTCAGGATTAGGCAAATGAGGCAAAACTGGGTAGAATCAAGGTTAAAGCAGATACAATGAGATAAAGTAGGCAGAAAAGTCTTCTAATCCACCAGCTGCTCTGCCGGGGAAGGAGGGACAATCTCCTCCTGTACCAGTCAGATCTGATTTGACGGTACACGCACACAAAAATAAATAAAAAAAAAAAAAAATAAAGTAGGCAGAAAAATCATGAAAAGAGCTAATAAAAGTTAAAGGTCAAATGAAGTGGACAAAGCCAGGTCCTACCCAATCAGAACCAGGGAACCAAAACCAATAAGCCTCAATCCTAATGTGAGTACTGCTTTGGGGCTTAAGTGATGTCAAGAGCAATGGGGTAGAATAAGAACCACCCACCAAATTGTGAACTCCCATTGGCCCAGACTCAACCTTGGAAGTACACCCAAAAGCAGAAGTGAGCCTGCTATAGGAATTCATAGCACATGTGGCACTCTCCATTTCATTTTCAGAGAAATGGCTTGACTCATTCTCTGGAATGTATCTTTCCTAATAAAACTGTCTTTACTTTCACCTTCTTTCCCCTCAACACCATGATCTAACAAAGAGTTGGCCCATTCTGGGATTGCTCAAGCAGGATATAGTCAGGCCATTATCAGGGGATTCATCCACCGTTCTTTCTGTTGTCTCTCACCCAGTTCAGTTCTTTGTCCAGACAAGTGAATCCAAAGCAAAGCACTCACCACACAATAACATTGCTGTTGTTTATACTTTGAAGATATTTTTTAAAACTTAAACTTATTTTTAAAAAACATTGTTAATACCTGCTTGTATTGTGTACCATAGAGTTGGAATCAACCGATAGCCGACCCTCCCACAGGTTTTCAGAGGCAGTTAATAGCATGGGATGAGACTGCCCATACTTATCCCATGGAGCGTCTGATGGACTTGAACCACTTGACTTTGGGAGTGCCGCACAGCTTCTTGCCACTAAGCCACCAGAGCGCCCTGGTACCCACTTAGTGCTGAAGAATTCCTATGCACGTCCAGACAGAAAGAGATGCCTGAAACCCTAATTCTATGTCCTCCAGTAAGCTTAACTGCCTCTGAAAACTCACCGGAGGGTCAGCTATAAGTCACTTTCGACTCAACAGCATACATCACAGATGATGGAGAGGGCCATTCTGGAGAAGTGATTTGCCTGGTTACTCTTTCAGACATAATTCCACATACTTCTCATCCTTAAGAGACTCAGTCTTGTGACCTAAATGGCTCACTCCACATGGTTTCATAGTCCATTTACTCATGCTAGGTTTAATGGACATATTGAGGAGAGCTGTCTTAATATTAAACATGTGATGTCTAGCTCTTCTAAGGTCTCTTTTACTAAGCTTTGTACTTTGACGAATTGGAACTAGGAAGTTTTGTTTTCTGAAGATGATGTCAAAAATTTACTCCAGAATGGAGCTGTATAAATCAGGTATGTTTCAAGAAAAAAAAAAATCTTACAAGGATAGATCCTCTGCTCCTACTTTTACATAGCCAATAAACAGCCTTGTGGGTCACTTATTTTGTTGTTAAATAAAAGGTCCAAGGGTTTCAATCCACTAGATGCTCTGTATGAGAAAGAGGGGTGGTTTGCTACCATTAAGATGTACAGCCTTAGAGTTTAACAGGACAGCAAGTAATAAATGTTAGAGAGGATGTGATGAGATAGGTAGGACTGTAAAATGGTATGATGACTCTGGAAGGCTGTTTGGCCTTTCTTCAAAAAGCTGAACAGAGAAATTCCATATAATCCAGCTATTCCACTGCTTGGAATACACCACAAGAAAACTAGAAACAAGACACAAATGGAGATTTTTTTTTACACTAATGTTCATAGCAGCATGATTCACCATCAAAAGAACATGGAAACAGCCCAAATGTCTGACCACAATCGACTGGACTGAGAAATTGTAGTACGTTCACATGATGGAATACTATGCGGTACCCAGAAACAATGATTTCAAAAATTACTACCTAACTTGGGGAGGACTGAAGAGCATTATGCTAAGTGAACTAACTAGGTCCCATAAGGACAAATATGGTATAAGATCATTATTGTAGAAATAGAAAGATAACTAGTAAAATGGCTCTGAGGATCTAAGGGGTAGGGTAAAAGAGTGATAATGATGGGTATGGCAAGGGGGTAGGGGTGCGGTGGTCATAGGGTCACACAACTTAATGGGTAGAGGGAAGGGTGGATAAACAATATGGGAAAGAGCTGATGTGAAAAACAATGTATGCAAACTCTGTAAGCAAACCAGTAGAAAATAAATTTTTTTTTAAAATTTTTTTATTGTTTTTCTCTTTTTATTTTATTATTTTGTGTGTGTACCATCAAATTGGATCTGACTGGTACAGGAGGAGATTGCGCCTCCTTCTCCAGCAGAGCATCTGGTGGATTTGAACTGCGTACCTCTGGGATTGTAGTGTAGCTTCTTGCCACTAGGCCACCAGAGCTAAAAATTTATTTTTTTTTTAATTTTATTTATGTATGTATGTATGTATTTATTTATTTATTCCTTTTGTGTGTGTACCGTCAAATTGGATCTGACTGGTACAGGAGGCGATTGTTCTTCCTTCTTCAGCAGAGCATCTGGTGGATTTGAACTGCGCACCTCTGGAATTGCAGTGCAGTTTCCTACCACTAGGCCACCAGAGCTCACCTAAAAATTTATTTTTAAAAAAAATTTTTATGGCCTTGAAAACTTGATGGACTGATGAAGCCATCAAGTTGGGACAGACCTGATAGCTGTGGGCCTGGTGTTTTTTTTATGTAGTATAGGGAACAAAGGAGCTCTGGTGGCATAATGTGTAAGGTATCGGGCTGCCATCTGAAAGCCTGGCAATTCAAATCCATCAGCTGCTCTGTGAGAGATGGACAATCTTCTTTAATAAAGATTTAGTCTCAGAAATGATTTGACAGGAGGGGTTCTCAGGAAGAGAAAACATTCTGCTGCATCCCAGTTCTGTTTCCACAAAATAAGGTTTTGGATTAGACCTGTTATTTGTATTCTGAATCACAGTTTTTTTATAAAAGGAAAAGGTTCACCTTGGACTTAATTTGATGGGGATAGAGACCAAGCCTATCTCATTTACATCCCCAAATACTACATCAGTTGGTGGCGCTAAATAATAATGTTGAATGAATTACTGTGGAAAAAAAAAATTCTATTTTTTTATATTGTTTGATTCAGTGGCTTTTATCTCAGTGTAGGGTGGTGGTCTGATCAGACCCAGTACTGGCTCTGTGTGCTCAAGTTGGCATCTGTGATCTCTGTTTCAGCTCTTATGACCAAGTTCTGTTCTTTGACAAAACGTGCCGGTGCCCCAGTGCATAGTGTGTTCAAATCCATGAGGTGCTCCAAGAGAAAGATGGGTGTCTCCTCCCTTTATGACATGTTGCCTTGGAAACCTCACAAAGGATCCTAGGGGTTGGAATAATTGCATGGCAATGGGTTTGAGTTTTAAGTGTACTGCTTCCTTCACTACAAATGGGCAGATTTTTAAAAAGAACCACAAGCAATAATAAGACGCAGGAAACCACATCTTGGTGATAGGGGCTTAGACAAGAGTTTGGGGAGTGCACAATCAGGCATTCACTGGTTCCTAAAACTCCACTGCCAGGCGTCCACTCTAGCTCAAAGCGATCTTCCACTGGTTTCTGAGACTGTCAATTTTACTCCCTTGGGAAGCACTCAGTAGCCTCAAGTCTCTGACTTCTTGGTTGGCAACACAACCAAAAAGGAAAAAGCACTGTGCCATCAGGGCTCCGTTAGGAGAGATCATACAACTTCTGAAATAGCTTCCCCCGCCCTAGGAAAGGAGAGTGTAAGAACCATCACACTGCATTAAGCATCACACAAAACATGGCAAACTTAAGAAGTGATCCAAGACCTAGCTGTTTATCCATCACAAGAATACATCGAGTTTTCTTTCTGTGCAAACAGGGCACAGCGAGGCCTTTGAAGCTGGTAACAGGCCTGTGTGTGTGTGTCCAGCAAACCACTTTAAGGGCCCTACGGTATGTGGGTTTGCTGAAGCTTGTGGCACTGCGGTGTCAAATGCCATAATGGTTTCCCAGTGTGGACAGTGTTTGGTGGAGCTCCCAGTTGTAAAACAGGCTTAGAAGCAGGAGTGGCATCCACTTCCTAAACCACGCCTCTGCAAACTCTAAGAACTTGGAGAAACGACGACAGTTAGGGAAGGGCACTGGTCTTTTGTTCACAGGGTCGCTGTGAGCCCTGCTCGACTGGACGGCAATCGACAACAACAAAGTATCTGGAGAGCGGCTGTACCGGCCTGGCGGCCTCGGGTTTACCTGGTGCAGCCCTGTAATTCCATTTTTTTCAGGCCCGCCTCCGTGGCCTCTGCGTCCACGCCTTCTGCCTCGTCGTCACTGTCATCTTCGCCAAACGGGAAGCTCTGGTGGCCGAGGGGAGACAACAGCGACATGGTGGAATTGCTGTAGCTCCGCGACAGCGACGGCGAGCCCACGGACTCCACTCCCTGACCGCGGGCGTCCGCCATGAGCAGCGCTAAGGAGTCGGAGGAATGTCGAGCCCTGGGCCTGCTGCCCCCAGAAAGCCCGCTGTGAGACGGGGGAGAAGGGGCACCCGCCGGCCTCAGGGCCCACATCTCGCCCGCCAAGTTCAAACCAGCGGGGCTGAGGCGGGCCGCACTCTCCCAGCAGGCCCTGCGAGCATCAGGCTAGGCCAATCAGGTGACACGCGCCTTCGTTGTCATGGCGACGCGTAGGGGCCTCTCCGCTTTGTCTGGGCCTGTTTAGCGTGGCTTCTGCAGCCCAGCGTTTGCGTCCTGGTTTCCTTGCTTTACCTTTGAGTCAAGAAAGTGGTTGATGCATGCGAGCTTGTCTATCTCCGTGCTCCTTTTCACCTGCGGTGCCCTAGATCCTGGCAGACAACTTTAGAAGCCAGTCGTTTGCCTGCTGTGGAATTGAAAGTAGATAGAGATCATTTGGTACTAAAACCGTGTCATCAAAAAAGGCTTTTAAAGGGAAAAAATCCTGAAGCCAAATCTACTCACCTACCCGCCCCCCCCC